CCAGGACCTTTAATGGAGATCTAATCAAAAGGGCCCAGAGCATTCACAAATACTTTGGTTTAAAAACAGAAAATTGTCCTAAGACACAAGCTTGCTGTAATTTATCTATGATGCTTACTTCTTAAACAGTTATATGACAGAAGTCTATCATTTTAGTTTTATTCAATATATACGTTATTTTAAAAAATGCATTAATCAATAAGTGTGTGACAAACTGCCAAAGGCAAGACTACATAGTTAAGCTGTTAGCAGTTTCATTCTGAAGTGGACCAAATCTCTTGCTATATTAGCAAAAAATACACAAGACATATTAATTATTAAACTTCAAAAAGGGGCTACTGGGTAGGTTCACTAGCTGCTGTTCATATTATATTTAAATGCCATCTAACCATTCTTTTCTAAGAAACTCATCAGATGGTTACCTGGGCTTCAGTACATAGCAGTAGCGGTCCTGATCCTACCAATGTTTACACATGTGAACAATTTTATGTACAGGAATAGTTCCATTGAACTCTAATCTACAGGATAAGGGCTATATACAACAATAAGGAATCTCAACATGGTGACATCTTTGGACCTTGTTGGTAGAGATGGGGACACAATTGATCTCTGTGTAATGGCCCTAATATCATCCAAAGAATCTGGCCACTCAAACAGGAAGTGTATAATGTAAACATAGACCTTATAGGTCAAATTGCATCTGCTTACATTATGTGAGAGTCTGACCCTTTAACGACAGGTGAAATGATGACGGAGTGGTACCTTTAATTCTGTCCGATTGTGGTTACAATCTGTTCAACTGCTCTTGTTGTCAATTCTTGATCCTTTCAGAAATAGTAGCAAGCTGACCTGAGAAGAGGGCCTTCCACCTCTGAAATCTCTGAAACCTCTTCCAGAGCCCAAGTTCAGTGAACTTCAAGGCCCTTTGTTAGGCTATATGTTTGTTCCAACTTTTGTCTGCCTGGTAGGGTGTTCAAGATTTATTGTGTTTTTGCTTGGAAAGACCAACATTTAGCAATTTTTTTACATTTATTGTGAGGTTCCCAAGTCCTGAGAAAATGGCCACCATGTATAAATGCCTGAAATAAAAGTAGAAACTCTCCATTTTATTTTTATAATTAGTATTTGAATTCAGACTTAGAATGTAATGGGGGGTACTGCGTGAAATAATTCTCTGATCCAAATATAGGGGTAATAAAAAAACCCTCTTTACTATAAATATTACAAGAATATGCATGTATACTTTTTATGTATATATAATGATTTTTTATGTTCAATAATTTATTTAAATCTAAGTTACAGTGTCACTAGACCCAGACAATAATACCAAATAGATACAAACCATATGGTAGGGTAAGTCTATGCAACTTATTTTGAAATAATAATCATTTCCCATTTCCTTTCCAACTAATCTGTGTTGTTTTATTCCTGCTGAGACTTGCTCCATGATCAATTTTACTCTGATCAGATTGACCCATCCAGTACTTTGTAGTCCACAATAGGCAGGGCCCTACCAAATTCACTGTCCATTTTGGTCAATTTCATGGTCAGAGAATTTTAAAAATTGTACATTTCATTATTTCAGCTATTTAAATCTGAAATGTCACGGTGTTGTAATTGTAGGGGTCCTGATACAAAAAGGAGTTGTGGGGAGGGGAGGTTGCAAGTTTATTGTAGGGGCGGGGTTGTGGTACTGCTACCCTTCTGCGCTGCTGCTGCTGGTGGCGCTGCCTTCAGAGATAGGCAGCTGGAGAGTGGCGGCTGCTGGCTGGGAGCTCAGCTCTGAAGGCAGAGCCACTGCCAGCAGCAGCGCAGAAGTAAGGATGGCCTGGTATGGCATTGCCACCCTTACTTCTGTGCTGCTGCTGGCGGGAAGTTGCCTTCAGAGCTGGGCGCCTGGCCAACGGACACCACTCTCTGACAGCCCAGCTCTGAAGGCAGCACAGAAGTAAGGGTGGCAATACCACAATCTCCCCTAAAATAACCTTGCGACCCCCCTGCAACTCCCTTTTGGGCCAAGACCCCCAATTTGAGAAATGCTGGTCTCCCCCATGAAATCGGTATAGTATAGGATAAAAGGACACAAAAGACCAGAGTTCAAGGGGGGAGACCAGATTTCATGGCCCGTGATGTGTTTTTCGTGGCCATGAATTTGGTAGGGCCTTAACTATAGGATTAATTAAATGGTTTTGTTTTTCCATTCCCACTGTGAAATTTGTGCAAGGATTTTTGCTTTCTAAATATAACACATTGAAATGCTAATCCATTTTCCAAGTATTTGCTTCCCAGAATATCGTGTCAATATATACTTCTCATACTTTTTGCATAAACCAACTTCACACGTTTCATGACAACAGTGGGAGAAATTACATATTGAGTGCAAAGATCTGTTGACTTGTCAAAATGTTAATGATATCTTAATTTAAATTATTTGTAACAGTACTGCTAACAAAAAAAATCAAAATTTTATTATTTATTATTTGTATTAAAGGAAATTAACAATAGAAACAAATTAAGGGGCTGATTTCTCAGAAGTGCCAAGCACTTGGGAGATTCTGGTCTCTTCCACTGAAGTTGTGGGTTCTTAGCACTTCTGAAAATTAAGCCCTAAAATAACATGAAGTGGCAAGATTAACTGGAAAAAAAAACCACACAAGGAAACTGAATACAGATGGGCTATACTGTCCTTAACTCACCCTGCTTAGTCTAACAATTGCAGGCATCTCAGAACAGTGTAAGATCCTGCATACTACACATTGTAACTTTTTTGAGACTAACTCCACTCTGCCTTTTCCCCCTGATTTATACCTCACAAGCTCAGGTCTCCTGTGAAGGATGACTGGAAAAAGACTCTTTGGAGTGAACCAACATTGCTCCTTATTTGGCAAGAGAGAATTTGTTATTGAGTTATGCAAGGTACTCTCTTCCCTCTCCAGAGACTCAGTAGTGCTGCCACAGCACTTAAAGCCCTGGGAGCAGAATGAAACCAGGAATCAAACAAGATTTCTCATCAGAAAGCAATATCATCAGTTCACTGGGCCAGCACAGGTCTAGTTTTGGTGAAGAAACTGGGTAAAAAAAAATTGTTAGACCAAGTATGTTTAAACTGCTATAAAATTTATTTAGGACTCCTTTCTATATTAAAATAAATGTGTTAGCTGTGTAGCTCAATATATTCAATTTCCAGAAGGTACCCAACACTGAGGGATGATATTTAAGGGGCTCTTCTTCTATATATCCACGGGGGTTGGACTGGACTATCTGTAAGATATAATTTACAAATTTTCCAAAGCAGTCTCAGTTTATACACAGAGTTTTGCACATGCAAATGAGCAGAATAGTTAGTTCAATGATGCGTGCAAATTAGGTGTTTCCATGTGCAAATTCAGGCCCTGATTCGTCAGACATTTGACCAACATGCATAATGTTAAGCATGTGTGTGATCCCTATTGAATCCAAAGAGCTGAGGTCAGCCAACTATATGAACGTGGCTCAGCCCGGGTACCCAGTGAGCTTCCTGATCTCATGCAGGAGGCACTGGAGGAGTGCAGGGTACTCAATCTTGGAGCAGAAGTAAGGAGACCTTTGGGGCAAACTCTGTACTATACTGACAACTCTTGTGATTGTATCATGCATCTCACAATAGAGAGGATGGATGATCCAGTGGTTAGGGCACTAGCCTGGGACTTGGGAGTCCAGCATTCAATTCTCTGGTCTGCCACAAGCTTCCTGTGTGGCCTTGATCTCTTAGTTTAAGTTCCCCATCTGTAAAACGGAGTTTATAGCACTTTCCTACACTTTAAAGATTGTGAGACACTCAGATACTATAGTAATGCAGGCCTTTCTCAAAACCCCAGCTGCTGGAATCGCATGATTATGTGAGAATATCAGCTTTCGTTTAAAACAAAAAAAAGTTTCTAGCCTTCATGGTTGTAGACAAAAGCCTGAAAACATGAACTAAGTATACCCTAAAGGTTGAAACAACAGAAGACAAACAAAAAAAGAATCTTAAGTATTATTTTTAATAGCTCATGATTTTGGAGGCCTGAGTCATGATTTTTGAATGCATAGGGATACCAATACTACATGCTATCCCAGGCCTTTCATCTGCCACATGCATAAGCATAATGGCTGAGGAAACCTCTGCTTAATCCCTAACATCCTACATTCCTGTAATGGGGCTCAAAGGAATTAGGGCAGAATTTTGCCTTCTATTTTTAAGTATTTTAGAAGACCTTTTGATCTTTAGAATTGTTGATCCTCATTATGGGCCATACTAGTACAGCGCTAATGGTTCCATTGACCAAACCCTGAGGCTCCTAATTACTTTTGTTTGAACAACAGAATTGACAGAGGTTAGGAAAATTATAAGTACATAAATAAAATACGTCAGGGAAGATTTCTTCCTGTTTTAGTTTCCCTGTTCTTATTTAAAACCATATAAAGAGATATATAAAAAAGTGTCACACAGTAATTATATAGGTAATTCCCCGCTCTTCTGTTACTCACCTATGGGAATGGGCAGTGAAAAACAAGTTTTACTCTATCAATGAATAAGAATGATTAACACTCAATTAAAGGAAGATAATTTACGTCACCTGCCATTTACTGTGCAACTTCTTTGTATAAAATTACAAGGGAAGAAGTTATTATGATTTCTCAGCACTCCTAATAGCAGTCTCTGTGTATAAAATAATAATGGTAAGAATATTTCATATTGATATAGAATGATAGTCTGATTTTCAGAGGTGCTGAGCCCCCAACAACTCCCGTGAACTTCTGTGGGAGCTGTGGATGCTAAGTATCTCTGGAAAAAACAATCAGGCTATTAATCAATTCAGATGAAGAATAAAAACAAATAATTTAGTTTTCATATTAAAAATAAGGAAGTGATGTGTAGGGATATATATTTAACACACATTTTAAAGAAGGCATCAATTTCTAAGATTATAATAAATTCAATACATTTTTTTAAGTTTTTATAGTTTCTCAGTGTTTACCTCTGCAATCTCTATCCTTTTTGCAAGTTCATCGAGCGAAGAAAAGCTGTCATCTAATAATAAAGCTTCTGTTGAGCTGTATGATGCTTGTTCCAGTGGAATATCTGGGAGAGTTTCAGAGTCCTCTTGGTTTTCTAAATTTGCAAGGGATTCTTCAGTGTCTTTTATGCTACCATTTAAGAATCTGCCAAAAAAATCTTCCAGTTCGTCATTATTTACCTCCTCCTCCTGCTGCCTTGCCATCTCTTGCAGTCCCTTGCATACTTTTGGATGTGCAGGACTGATATGTTCAGGTGCTTTGTTACTTCCAGAACACATGTTTTCACAAATGTTTGATGCAGTTCTGTCCTGTGGGGATTTTCCATCCTCATCTCCTAAACCAGGCTTCTGCTGCTGCTGGTTTAATGCACTATTTCCTAGCTGGCTTCTGGCAGTCTCAGTAGAGCCTGCACGTTGTTTTGACCTGAGAACATTTCTTTCAGCTTGTACATTTTCATCTTTAGAAATCAAATCAGGAGGGATATAATCAGCGTCCGTTAAAACTAAGGTGTCTACCATTGGCTCACCAGAGAGTTCCACTCCAGGCTCCTTAGCCACGTCTTCTATTTTTGCCACATCCTTAGAGAACTGCTTCTCTCTCGGCTGCAAACTGTTATCTTTACCAGCATCCCCAGATGATAAACAGTCAGAACAAGGCCTGCCCACTGTCCCTATAGACTGGGTGTGTGGCTCCAGTGTTGATTCAGCACTGCAGTGCTGCTCCTCCATGTGGTCCTTCCCTGCAGCTACTTGAAGACGTGCTGCTTCTGTAAGCCTATCAGTTTTACTATCACATAGGGAGCTCTCACTCATCTGTCTCTCTCTGTGCTGGTTTTCTTTTCTTGGTCCAATGCCAGGCCAAGTTTCAGTATCTAAATGCAACAGGAAGACAGTTCCAGCATTTTAAAATGATTCAAAACATCAATAGTGTGTCGAAAGAGCGTACTATGACTTGATAACACTGCACACAAATGTTTCAGAATAAATTCCCCTCTAGTGCAGACAGTGCTGCTCCAGTTAGTAGAAAACATAAAACACCCAGAATAAATCATAAATAAGACCCCAATTCAGCAAAGCACTTAAGTGAATGTTTAAAGTTAAGAAAATGCTTAAGTGTTTTGCTGAAAAGGGATGGGATTATTCACATGCTTAAAGTAAAGAATGTTCTTACGTGCTTCAAGAAATAAGGGCCTAATTTCCCTCTCAAACATATTTCATGCAAGGAACTACATGTAGATTATTCCAAGATTTCTAGAAGGAAGGGTGGGGAGGGAAGAGGGATATGATGTCAAAACTACAGAAGAAATTTTTTTCCTGGTTCCACTGCAATGGGTAACTCAGATACATTAGAGTATTACTGTTATCACATTTCACCGAGGTATGTAGGTGCATTTTTTAAAAAGCCTAAAATCACAAGAATTGAATGTGTTTTCCATATGTCCTTTGTCTTTAATATTTAACTATTTCCTTAAGTTAATGCAAAGTAAAATAAAATATTTGATTACAATATTCATAGATAATAAATTACACAGCTAAAATTGCTTTTATGGACTTCTATATGGGTAGCCAGTTTGGGTTATATAAAAAAACACAAATACAATTTGGATTTAGCTTATGTTTGGTTTCAGATATTTTCAATATAAATTACCAAGGGAGAATGATCTCTGTTTACTGAGCTGTTATGGAATTTTATTTTAGAGAGAAGTGAGAACAATAATACACAAATACTGTAAATTCAAAAGAGTTTAGAGTTACACTCATTTTTGGTTAGGAAATGTTGGTAAATTATTTATCGGTAGGTTAAAGAACTTATAATTCAATAATTATTTATTTCTAACAAAGTAGGAATTTAAGAAATAGTACATTCAGTGCCAATACAATATGTTCATGTAGCGGAAGACCAAAAAGCTAGTCTGAGTTGTGCCTAAAATTATTAGACATGGGCCTTAACTGGAACCTCAAATCCAACCTTCTTCCCCCTCATCCAGTTTTGGGGAGAGAAAAAGGGAGTGCCTGAGATTCAAATGACAAAGCAATCTCTATTCAACAGACTTTTTTTATTACATGTTTATACAGAGCCACCTAGAACAAGGTCTGTATTATAGAAGTTATTGTAATAATAAATAATAATAATAATAATAATACACAACAAATTCCTAAACACAAAATCTACTTAATTGAATTTTTGGTTCAGAGTCAAAAGCAGAAGGGTCTATGGATCAAGTTGATGGAAGAAATATCAAGCGGCCCCAGAAATTTCCATCATTTCCTGCTGAAGTGTCACAAGATTCTTAAGCCATTCAATCTGAATCCATGCTTGCTATGGATTTTGTGTCAAACCTGAACTCTAGTGTAAACCTGCCCTGGAAAAGAGCACTGCCTCCTCTGCTCAGCTCTCAAATATATTTGAAACAGGGTTGAATTTCTCTGTCTTAAAGCAAGGAAAGATTATGTTTGATGATAATCCTCATATTTTAAAACTTAATGAAATACTAGCTGAAAATGAAAAGTAAGGTTAGAAATTATATAAAAGACCATGCAGCCTACTTGAGGATGAATAAAAATCAGAACGTTGATAGATTGAAGGGATACACAGAAGCTAATTATATAGGATAGAAAGAAGAAATGGGTATGAGAGAGATGGTTTTGAAAATTAGGCACAAAGGACAAGACAGCTGAGGGGTTTGTAATGGGATACTGAGCTCTACATGTATAGGTCACCAGTTCAAATACAGCCCAGATTGTCAGTAGCAGGATTTTGTTACCATCTGTCAATTTTTCCCAGTTGATATGACCATGTTACAACAGGCACCTTTGTTGGCAAGTAGGAACACCAAAGATTAAATGGACATGGAAATTAAATCAGCCTCTTTACCATGCAGGGTGGCCCCTTGAGGTCAGGGTTGAAACAGACAGATATGTCTGTGTGGGGAAGCCTACACTGTGTGTCTATGCTGTAACTGTACTAGAGATAGAGGACTTCAATGTCTAGTGCTGTCGGTCTTTTTATGAATATTAAGGCCTATATTTTCAAGAGTGACTAGTGATTTTGAGTAGCTCATTTTTTTGAGAGAGTGTCCAATTCAAAAAGCAACAGAGGGTCCTGTGGCACCTTTAAGACTAACAGAAGTATTGGAGCATATGCTTTCATGGCTGAATGCCCACTTCATCAGACGCAAGACCAATTCAAGTTGCCCTAAAGGCAGCTGATTTTCAGAAGTGATGAGAACCTGCTCTCTAAAAATCAGGCTCCTTTAAGGTGTCATGTCGGATACCCAAAACCAGAGGCATCCAAAATAACCAAAAATTAGAACTAAATTCACTTATGGAAGCAAAAACTCAGTCTAGAAAAATAGTATTCTGTACATAAGAAAGTAAGAAATGCTTCTAGCATTATGAGGCATAAACAGAGACCCAGGAAAGTGAGATCTTATGATCCCCTTTAATGTTCATGTAAAATTTTGGGGAGTTTTTTTGTAGCTTCCTTGGGAATATTTAAAAATGTTTGTTTGGACAACTCACACACCTTTTAGCTTACCGGCCTGTAATTTCCAGAATCACCTCTGAAGCCCTTTTTAAAAATTGGCATCACATTAGCTATCTTCCAGTCATTTGGTACAGAAGTTGATTTAAACGATAGGTTATAGACGACAGTTAATAGTCCTGCAATTTCACATTTGAGTTCCTTCAGAACTCTTGGGTGAATGCCATCTGGTCCTGGTGATTTATTACTGTTTAGTTCAGAGGTGACCAACCTGAGCCTGAGAAGGAGCCAGAATTTACCAATGTACATTGCCAAAGAGCCATAGTAATAAGTCAGCAGCCCCCCAACAGCTCCTTCCCCCCCACTTCCCAGCGCCTCCTACCTACCGGCAGCCTCACCAATCAGCGCCTCCCCCTCCCTCCCCACACCTCCCAATCAGCTGTTTCGTGGCGTGCAGGAGGCTCTGGGGGGAAGGAGCAAGGGCATGGCAGGCACAGAGGAGGGGGTGGGAAGGGGTGGAGTGGGGGCATGGCCTGTGGCAGAGCCAGGGGTTGAGCAGTGAGCACCCCCTGACACATTGGAAAGTTGGCGCCTGTAGCTCCAGCCCCAGAGTCTGTGCCTGTACAAGGAGCCGCATATTAACTTCTGAAGAGCCGCATGTGGCTCCGGAGCCACAGGTTGGCCACCCCTGGTTTAGTTTATCAATTTGTTCCAAAACCTCCTCTAATGACACCTTAATCTGGGACAGTTCCTCAGATTTGTCACCTAAAAAGAATGGCTCAGATTTGGGAATCTCCCTCACATCCTCAACCGTGAAGACAAATTCATTTAGTTTCTCCGCAATGGCCTTATCATCCTTGAGTGCTCCTTTATCATCTCAATCATCCAGTGGCCCCTCTTGTTGTTTAGCAGGCTTCCTGCTTCTGATGTACCTAAAAAATTTTTTGCTATTACTTTCTGAGTCTTTGGCTAGCTGTTCTTCAAATTCTTTTTTGGCCTTCCTAATTATATTTTTACACTTCATTTGTCAGAGTTTATGCTCCTTTCTATTTTCCTCATTAGGATTTAACTTCCACTTTTTAAAGGATGCTTTTTTGCCTCTCACTTTTTCTTTTTCATTGTTATTTAGCCACGGTGGCTCTCTTTTGGTTCTCTTGCTATGTTTTTTAATTTGGGGGTCTACATTTAAGTTGAGCCACTATTATGATGTCTTTAAAAAGTTTCCATGCAGCTTGCTGGGATTTTACTTTTGGTGCTGTACCTTTTAATTTCTGTTTAACTAACCTTCTCATATTTGTGTAGTTCCCCTTTCTGAAATTAAATGCTATAGTGTTGGGCCACTGTGGTGTTTTCCCCACCACAGCGATGTTAAATTTAATTATATTATGGTCACTATTACCAAGCAGTCCAGCTATATTCACCTCTTGGACCTGATCCTGTGCTCCACATAGGACTAAATCAAGAATTGCCTCTCCTCTTGTGGGTTCCAGGACTAGCTGCTCCAAGAAGCAGTCATTTAAGGTGTCAAGAAACTTTATCTCTGCATCTCTTCCTGAGGTGACATGTACCCAGTCAATATGGGGATACTTGTAATCCTCCATTATTATTGAGTTTTTTATTTTAATAGCTTCTCTAATCTCCCTGAGAATTTCACAGTCACGATCACCATTCTGGTCAGGTGGTCTGTAATATATCCCTACTCCTATAGTCTTATTATTCAATGATGGAATTACTATCCAGAGATTCTATGGTACAGTTTGGTTCATTTAAGATTTTTACTTCATTTGATTCTACGCTTTCTTTCACATATAGTGCCACTCCCCGACTGTGTCCCTTTGATTATCCTCATTCCACCAAGTTTTGGTGATGCCTATTATATCAATATTCTCATTTAATGTGAGGCACTCTAATTCACCGACCTTATTATTTAGATTTCTAGCATTGGTATATAAGCACTTAATAAACTTGTCACTTTTTAGCTGCCTGCCATTACATGATGTAATTGAATGGGACTTTTTTCATTTGACTGTTTCTCATCAGATCCTACCTGTATTTTATCATCTTCCATCTTCTTCTCCTTATTAGGACATATATGTGCTCCTCTGCACCTGTCAGCTTTCCCCCAGCCCTTAGTTTAAAAACTGCTCTATGACCTTTATAATTTTAAGCGCCAGCAATCTGGTTCCATTTTGGTTTAGGTGGAGCCCATCCTTCCTATATAGGCTTCCCCTTTCCCAAAAGTTTCCCCAGGTCCTAATAAATCTAAACTCCTCCTCCCTACACCATCGTCTCATCCACGCATTGAGACTCTGCAGTTCTGCCTGTCTAACTGGCCCTGTGCATGGAACTGGAAGATTTCAGAGAATGCTACCATGGAGGTCCTGGACTTCAATCTCTTACCTAGCAGCCTAAATTTGGCCTCCAGGACCTCTCTCCTATCCTTCCCTATGTCATTGGTACCTACATGTACCACAGCCAACGGCTCCTCTCCAGCACTACACATAAGTCTATCTAGAAGTCTCGAGAGATCTGCAATCTTCGCACCAGGCAGGAAAGTCACCAGGTGTTTCTCCCGGTCATCACAAACCCAGCTATCTATGTTTCTAATGATCAAATCGCCCACTACCAATACCTGTCTTTTCCTAATAACTGGAGTTTCCTCCCACTGGAGAGGTATCCTCAGTGCGAAAGGATACCACATCATCATCTGGAAGGACGATCCCAACTATGGGATCGTTTCCCTCCGCTCCAGTTAGATGCTCTCCTTCCCTGAGATTTTCATCCTCCTCAACAGCACAGAAGCTGTCAGACCAGGGTTGGGACCATTCTACTGTGTCCTGGAAAGTCTCATCTATGTACCTCTCTGTCTCCCTTAGCTCCTCCAACTCAGTCACCCTGGCCTCCAAAGCCCGTACACAATCTCTGAGGGCTAGGAGCCCCTTGATTGAATGCACACATATGCCACCTGCCCACAGGGCAGGTAATCATACATGCTGCATTGGGTGCAATAAACAGTTTGTAAAATATTTTACTAAATTCATTATTTATTATTTCATTCAAGAGAGTTTGCACACAAGACAAATATGCAGGGTTTTGGCCATTTCGAATTACAACAGGAAGGTATTAAGACTTTCAGACAGGTGCTGAAAGAATGAATAGATACAGTATGTGCTCCAACTCTACTATTTTAAGAGCAATACACAGGTTTAGAGGCCCTGATTCATTCTGCTGGCAGAAATAAAGCTCCAGGACCCTGGCAGCAGAAACTGCATGAGAGGAAGGGGTTACAGCAGCACAGGCTGTAAAATAGGGGAATCTATGTATCCCCCACCATCCTCAGCCAGTTCGGTTCTTATAGAGGCCTGGCTGGAGTTTAAAGCTGCTTTCCTAGGAAGAATCTCGAGGGGAGAATAATGGCGAATCCTCCTTGGAGCCAGCTGTCTTCAAAGGCAAAAATTGCATTCCCTTGCGCATGCAATGGATGAATCCAGCCAAGTGTGATTTAGATTAATGAAGAAGTGGCATTTTCTTTCAAGGATGCTACCACAGTATATATTTTACCTACATTACATAACTAAGGTTTTATATATGTACACAGACAACACACACATGCCCCGATCCCCCACTCTAGACATGGTAGATAAGTGGAGTCTTTGGGCTTGTCTAGAAGGAGAAACTATTGCAAAATAAGCTAGGGTCTGAAAATAAAGCACAATAGCTATTCCACACTCTCTCCCCATGTGGATACACTTATTCCACACTAAAGCCTTGTGAACACTGGCAGTGGCAAGTAGGGTACACGTAGCTACAAGCTACAGTGAAAAGCAGGCTGAATCCATGCTATGGTGGGTAGCTACATGTGGCAGTGAAAGGCTCCAGCAGGTGGGATGGCAGTGGGGAAAGGCTTAGGCAATTTCCTGCTACTGGAGCCTTTTCCCGCTGCCTACCCCTGCAAGAGTCCTTCCCCACTGCCAGAGCCTTTCCCTGCAACAGGGAAAGGCTCCGGCAGTGGACAGCTGGTGGAAGCTTTCCCTGCTGTCAGAGCCTGGAAAGGCTCCAGCAGTTGGGAGCTACTGGAGCCGTTCCCTGCTGCCTCTCCCGTGCCAGAGATTTTCCCATGGTAGGAAAAGGCTGCAAGCAGTCGGACACTACACTGCTAAACACAGCAGTGTAGATGGGGGAGGCACTGCTTGGGCATTTAGAAAACGGTGTAGGGTACACACCCTTAAGGTTCTGGTGTGTCTACTCTACTTGCCTAATCCATGCCTCACCATCTACAGTGCTATTTATACCCATGCTGGGGGGAGGGGGGACGGACGGGAGGGGTGGCATGCAGTATATGTACTCTACATGCTACTGTAAGTGTACAAATAGCCTAAGAGTGCCTTTATACTGTTTAGCTTAATCCACTTTGGAAAAGAGCCTTAATGAGTTTATAAATGACCAAATCAATGGCTTGTCTACTTGGGAAATGTCTCAGAATAGCTATTGTGGAATTGTTATGCCACAATAGATTCCCATGTGGACACGTTAATTCCATACAATGTAGTTTAATCCACTTAATCTCGAATGTCCCCATGGGGCACTATTCTACAATAGCTATTCCGGGCCATTTCCCCTTGTAGACAACCTCTTAATTTGGCAATTTATACTCTCACGAAGGTCCTCTTCAAACCCCTTGGAAGTTTCCCTCTCCTTTCTTACTACCATAGTCACATTCTTGCCTCTAAAAGCCAAGTGAGCAGAGACAGCCAACTAACAGATGAAACAAAAGTGGCTTTTTAGTTTCCCATGTCTCTCCAGGCTATTTAAAAAATGTGACAGTCTTTATTCTGGCAAATGTATTTATATTAATTTTATCTTTCCTCCCCCACCCACCCATAATTCTCTTCTTTATGGCTTCAGAAGAACATGCTGCCCCCTGCTGCTGACATGCCTGAAGTGTGGGAGGCAACAATAGCTGATTAAGATAGACTTTTATTAAAAGTCACTCTCCTCCTAAAGAGATCTGCCAGTGTGAGGGCCAAGAACACACATCCACTGCTTCCCAAAGAAATGTGCCAGCCTGGGGGGTGGGGAGGAAGTTACATAAACACTCTTCACAGTATTGCCAACCTCAGCATTCAAAAATCATTAGTCAGGCCCTCCAAAATCATGATGTTTTTAAACAACTATCAGAGCTTGTCTGGAATGTTTTTGATGGTACAGTTTTCAGTGGAAACACAATTTTGTCAAAATGTAAATATTTTGAGGGAACTTGTCAATTTTCACAAAATTTCAGATGGAATAAAGTCTAAATAAATTGTTTCGACTATTTCATTTTATTTGTTTTGATTTTTATATTACTATAAATTTTATATACAAATATTTTATATTTTACATTATAAAGTTTTGACATTATCAAAGAAATATTTTGATGGGTCTGAATTGAAATTTTTCAGAATTTCTGTTCTGCAGGAAAGTTTTGCCTTGCGTTCTGATTCAGAACAAAAAGCAAAATTTAGAAATGTCAGAATTTCTTGTGGAACAGAAATTCTGTTTTCCAACCAGCAATAAAAATAATAAATTTTGGGTTCTTTTGGGTTTCTGAACCTTCAGGCTGCAGTCGCTTCATGTTTTTAAGCTTTTCTTTGCAACCATAAGGGTTATAAACTTACTTAAAAAGCAGAAGGCAATTGGAGATTCTCATGCAATCTCCTGATTTCAGGAACTCAGGGTTGTAAGAAATATACCAACCATTACAAGACTCATGATAAAATTACGATAGCTGATAGCACTTTCTTCAGCCTTGTGAATGAGCTTAGATGCCACAGTGGTGGATACACTATAAGAACCCAAACAGAAAGATAACTGCATGTGTGGATCGTGGTAGTGATAGTAAGGGGTGTGGAATGGAAGGAGAAGAGACCTGTAGTGTGTAGAGAAGCAGTGGTCCTCTGCCACCATCATTACTTCCTAGCTCCTGAGCCCCCCCCCCAAAAATCTCTTGGATGATGGCAGTTGCCACTGGAGAGAGAAACGCACTGAATTTAGACACTTTAACTCTCACCATCTACCCCAGGAACATTCAAAAATCTTTGCTCATAGCGAGGAAAGATGTATTAGGGTGAAATAGCTTAAAAACTATCTTCCTTCTCCGTTCCCATGCAATTACACTATGTGGGCAATCCTCAAACACAGCATTACTGTGTCCTTGCAGAAAAGGGAAGTGAAGATGAGAGACACTTCCAGTTATCATCCTGAACAAATATTAATGCTGCATTTTCTTTCTTTAAGACTCCCAAACATGCATTTCTTAATTTTTTCTTTGCTGGTATGGAAAATGCTTTATACGTGGATCTTTTAAATAATAAACTATATTTAATGGCCACAACTTAGAATATTTATAACAAGATCTCTTGCTAGCCAGGCATTTTATATATTGGAGGATCATTGGGTTGACACTAGTATGACATTTGTACCTATTAAGAATAGCCCCTTTGTATGTTATATGAACTGATATAACACACAAAAAATTAAAATATTTTAAAATGGATATTTTAAAGTAAATTATTACGAAGACCATTCCCTACTTAGACTATTCTTTATGCTGTGCAAATACTTTATTATATGCTGTGAAAAATTAAAGTTTGCAAAAATGATGTGCACTCTCATTTCTGCTCCTTTTATGTGCTGCAACTCCAAATGCAACAGCTGCACAATATCAACAGGAGTACATTTAAAAATATGTACACAATCAATACAAGATGTACCTGAATCACAAGCAGCAGCCCCTCTTTCTTTTAAATCTTCTGCTCCCATTAATTGTACAAAACGATTGCCTCCCAAGGACTTTTCAGTAGTTACTAGCTGTAAAACAGGACAGCACTTACTGTAACTGTTGATTTTAAACTCAAACACTGCAATTACTTGAGAAGTACACTCTGTACAAAATTTCCAAACCAACTCTATAAAAAGTATGTCAAAGCACACTAAAAAATACCCTTACTCATATTTTCAATTGGTAAAGCAGCATCAAGGAAAACAAATTCTTACCTTGTGTTTGGATACAAGTGGCCTGCAACAATAAAGAAAGGAAGAATAAATTACCACTTTCAGGAACAATATTCTTCACAACAAATGTCACCATAACTACTGCACAAATCATACTAGTCCCTTCCGTACTCTAATATTAGCACAGAACATTTCCAACACTGAAACACTATCAGTGCACTAGCATAGTTTAAAGTACAGAGCTGTACCATATGTTAACATCATTAGAAAGCCAATTATTATGGACGTTGCTGCACGTAATTGAGAAGGCAGTTAAAAAGGTAAAAACAACACATCAGAAATGTTCAAAACTTCTTGTAAGCTTGTTTTGAAAGGGACACAACTTCAAAAATCATACTTCTGTCTGCAAATGTTTTACCAACTAGCATTAAAAGTAACATTTGCTGTAACTGAAAGAGATTTGGAGAAAATATTACTCCCCCTCTCCCCCAGTTTATTCTGGTTCAGATTTTTGGAAGAACCGTGTACTCATCACTCCCTCTGAAATCAGTGGGACCCACAGCTGGATCAACACCACTGAAAATCAGGCTATGTATTCTACAGCTCTAGATACACAATTAGCTCCATGGTTTATCCTGTATAGTCAAGTCCTGTCACACAGCAATAAGGGAGAGAGAATTTGTTTTAAAAATTATTATAAAAAACCCCACAACACTTGGCAAGAGGTTTCAGGGGCAAATGGAAACAATGTTTAACACATTTTTTAAAAAGTGTTTAGATTTTAACTTGACAATACCCCTTAATGTATACAAACTTTTTTTTGCAAAGGCAAAGCAGAAACAGCCCAAAATAGTCTCTTAAAGAAAAAAAAAGTGTCCAGTATGAGCATTTGGATTATAAAATAAATTACTGGGGAAAAAAAAATCACATCTATGCTCTCAATTAGAAAAACACATAGGTCAAATATTCAAAGAGCTCCATCTTTAAAAAAAAAATGGAAAAGTGATTTTGATTATTGTCACCAGGTAAATCTAACTTCAATCTTTAGAAAAAATATGGAACAATTATTGAAAGAATCGATAAACATCTAGAGAATACTGATAACAGGAATGATGACATGTATATTTAAAGAACAAGTTATGCCAAATAAACATGGCCACTAATTTTGATCAAATTACATAATTATTGGAGGAAGGGAACATAGTAGATGTAATGTATCTGAATTTTAGTCAATAAAGTGAGGATGCATGGAACAAATTTAAAGGAGAACACAGTTATTTACAATAAGACTACCATTCTGTGCCTACAGAAATGCTGCTAGATGCTGTGTAGATATTTAAATACGTAAACTATATGGGCCAAATCTCCATCCTAGTGCATAACCCAGACTACATGTAATGAGGCTGTATATTAGGGAACCTGGCAGGCATTTGGGCAAAGGAATCCTTCATTATCAGTCAGAGAGCAGTAGCAGGCTGCTACTGCAGCCGCAGGGCTAAAGTTGCCTCTGTTGTACTAGCAGGGTTTCAGGTTTATGCTTTCCAATGGCTCCATATCAAATGTGCTCAGTTTATAAGTAAAGAAATTATTTTTTCCTGACTGCCAGCCAGGCAACCTAATCTAGGCTTTGACAGTCAAGCTATTTTTTATTTTCTTCTTATGCATCACCACCTGTGATAAAGGTTCTGCAAACCAAATTATGCCCTCAGTGACACATTGATGAGAGCAAGCTGGCTGAAGTTATAGCCAGACAAAAATGGAAGGGAGGGTAGAAGGCTGGAGAACACAAATGGAAAATATGGCAAAAACTGTATCTGTCCCTCTGATTAAGCACATCTCTCTGCCATGTGCAGTCATTTTTACAACCTTGGAATCTGTTTAGATTTTCAGTTACTACTGGATGATCACCATTCAGTGATAGCAACGATGGCTCTCTTCTTTTGCAATTGCCCAGGACACTGTAATCTTTTCTTACCAAAGCAAATCTCAATGCAGTGATTCATGACTGTCACCTCAAGGCTAGACTACTGCAATATGCTCCATTTGGGGCTCTACCTTAAGTCCATCTGACAAATGCAGAATGCCGCTTGTTAAGTGGAGGATCCTGTTTCAGTCACATAACAGCCACCCTCCAGATCTGCACTGGTTGCCTGTGGGTTTCCGGGTGGAGTTTTAGTGCTTTATTGGTTAATACCAACACCTTAATGGCCTTGGACCTGCTTGAGAGTTCATTTCTCTCTCTCTGTGCCACACTATCACAGTTGAGATCCATACAGCTGCCTGCATTGTAGCTCTCGCAGGCTATGTCGACACTATCCCGGTAAGTCGACCCGAGTTACGCTACTCCAGCTACGTGAATAATGTAGCTGGTGTAGACGTAGATTAGATCAACTTATTGTGGTGTCTGGACTGCACTGGGTCGACAGGAGACGCTCTCCCATTGACTTACCTTACTCCTCTCGTTCCTGGTGGAGTACCGGAGTCAACCGGAGAGTGATCTGCCGTTGATTTAGCGAATCTTCACTAGACCTGCTAAATCAACCCCCCGGTGCATTGATTGCAGCAGCATCAATCCCACAGTAGTGTAGACATAGCCTCAGCATAATAGAAAGGGAACTTTTTGTCCAGGTATACTCTGTGAGAGCCTCTTTCCTTCAGAATGGGCTCCCACCAATCCAGAACAGTCCCAAGTCTGTTGACCTTCAGGTCATGGTGCCTCTTGTTATTTTATAATGTTATATAAATATATTAGTAAGGCTTCTGACACAGTCCCGCATGACATTCTCATAAGCAAACTAGGGAACTGCAGTCCACCTGAAATTACTATAAGGTGGGTGCATAACTGGTTGAAAGACCATACTGAAAACAGTAGTTATCAAAACTACAACGAGGACTGTGATCAATTGTTCTCCACGTCCACTGAAGGTAGGACAAGAAGTAATGGCCTTAATCTGCAGCAAGGGAGATTTTGGTTGGATACTAGGAAAAACTTTCTAACTAGAAGAGTGGTGAAAAACTGGAATAAGGCTTCCAAGGGAGGTTGTAGAATCCCCACTGGAGGTTTTTATAAACAGGTTGGACAAACACTTGTCAGGTATAGTCGGGGCTGGACTTGATGGCTTCTCGATGTCCCTTTGAGCCCTACATTTCTATGACACTACAATAAATAAATAAATAAACTAAGCACTATTTATTATTATTAATATAATTGATTTAGGTGAAGAGAGTCCCTGTGGTGCATTCCTTCCCAATGGCACTAGAGAAACTCAAAAATATAAGAGCAGCTCCTCTGCTATATAGAAAGAAACTACTTAACTCTCATGCCTAAACACCTTGGCTTTAAGGGACCCAACTGTTAGTCACAGATTGATCTGACTGTAATCTCTTCTGAATGACTTGCTAAACGCAAGCGGTGGCAGGAATTATGCCATGGTTAAAGTGCAAGCAAGTCACAAGCATGCTTCATCAGCCTTCTAGTACTGCAGGCACCAGACTTTGAACTTTAAACTTTTAAAGTGCTCCTCATTGATGATTTTTACATTTGAATTAATTGTGTTTGTGTCTTGCCAGAACATGATCAGATAACTACATCAGACTGTAGAATCTGGTATCTCTACAGTACACAGTTTTCATCTGCTGTTTTGTTTCAAGTTGAATAGTAACTTTCTTAGCACACACTACATCATATCACACTTTACATGAGGATTGCCACCCAGTATGACTGATCATAATTGTATATTTGGGGACTAAAGGACAATTTTGTCCAACTGAAGCCCTCACCAGTTCAGCAAAAGAAGGCAGCAATGTCATCAAAGTATAAACTCTTCAACTGCCCAGACTATAAAAGTAATACCGGGAGTCTGTAGAAATTCTTTTACCAATATTAATCCAGTTTGAGAAGTCAATGTAGAATAAAGTATTCTTACTACAGATCAAAACAAATGTTTCCTATCAAGAACAGCATCTGTCTTGTAGCTGTGAATTGATTTTGATCCATTTTAATCAACTGGTACAATTTTTATTTTGGGGGATGTAGTTGAATCCATTTCAAACATCTGCCATACAAATAACAAGGAAGTACACTTTCACTTGCTAAAGTAATAAGGTTTGCTATACTTACTCTTGATGTGATGTACAAAGCTTAGCAAGATTTTCTAACTCTTCATTGTTAAGTCCTTTAGCTGAATTCCTCAGAGTTGTATCTGTACTGGGCACTGCTGTTTTCCACTTTGTTTCTAAATTAAGCCACAAATAGTTTTAGCCACACTGCTAAAAAATTAGTATTTATTTAGCCATAAAAACATGGAAGCCAAAGAGACTAGTATATGGCAAAATATGTTCAAGTCCAATTTTGTTTTTTATCAATAAAACAAATGTTCTGTGTACACTGTACAATTATGAAGAAGATTCTCGATAAAAAGCATATCATCATGACACAGTAAGTTGTGCTGCATTCACGAAACGAAACAAATGTCATGCTAGTTTCACCCAAGAATATATGAATCAACCATGGTAGAGAATTCAAAGTATAGAAACTGATCAAGATAAAGAATGATCCCCGAAGCATGCCTTTTCTTCACAAAGACGACAGGAGAAAAATCCCAGGAAAGAATAATTTTCTCACGACAGGCTCCTAAAGGTTCTGGTGAAAAGGCTACTTTTGGTTTTGCAACACAGTATTGACTGGAAAAATATTTGTTCTATTATTTAGAAAGAACAAGTTCCATAAGCTGTATCTAAAAGATAACTCTCCTCTCCACCACATGAGAACACACTGTACTTACCCCACTGCTCCTGAATGGAAGAAAGATTTGCAAGTAGCTGCTCATGATATAGTCGTTCAAGCTGAATGAACTTCATTGCCTTCTCATCTGAATAGAAGGTTAAAGAGAAATACAGATACAGACAGACATATTGGAATATACTTAAATTTGACACCACGTTCAAAAGGATATAGTCTAGTTCTATGACCGAAACCTGATACACAAGTACCAAAATGGATGTGAGTGGTTATATGGCCAGCACTCTAATAGACTTGAATAAATTATTAAACTAAACTAAATATAAACTGAAAAAAAGAGTTGAAAAAAAAATTCCTAAAAGCAGCATGGAAGATTCTTTTATTACACTATCATCTCTTTCCACAAACTTTGACTCCGAGAAAGTATATTTGATCAACTATGAGTTTTTAAGTGCAGACACATTATACATTTTTGTGTTAACTAATTTACTTTAAAAAAAATTCACCACAAAAGCAAAGACAAGCATTACTACAGTCTAAGACAGAACCACCCAAATCCAAAGACATCAAGTGCATTTTGTGTCTGTCTAGACTGTAAGCTTCTTGGGACAGAGACTATCTTCCTCTGTGTTTTGAACAGCACTAAGCATACTGTAGAAGCTTAACCAATAATAATAGAATATCAGGAGGTCATCTAGTCCAACCCCCTGTTCAAAGCAGGACCACTCCCCAGACAGATATTTACCCCAGTTCCCTAAATGGCCCCCTCAAGGATTGAACTCACAACCCTGGGTGTAGCAGGCCAATGCTCAAACCACTGAGCTATCCCCCCAAAACACAGAGCATAACTTTAAAGGACTTCAAGCATTTTGATTTCCCCTTCTTAGGACAAGAACTTCTAATACTTTATTTGCACAGCTGCAGTAAGTTGTGAACAGCCACCAGCAAAAGTTACTCCTCAGACAATCTATTTTTGAAGTATGAAGGTGTCTCATTTTTTGTGAAATATTTTGAGATTATGCTTACCATTCCCCCTTTACCAACAATCTCTTTCCACCCCTCTGCAGGGCCTTCATTGTGTCTACAAGTGTGTTCTAAAAGCTGTATACTTTTCTACTAATTCTACTCCTGCCAAGCAGTATAAAGTTAGCTAATAATCCTTCTATTTTAAACCACCTCTTGCCAGGCGTTTACACATTCAACTATTTCAAATTCCATTAGGCAATATACCGGAGATGAAAACAGAGTGAATCAGGTTCTGAGTATATAGACACAATATTTGCATTATTTATACCAAATAAAATAATATAGTAATCACCACAAAGACACAAGAAGTACTTGCTCTTTTTACTAACTATGGGATACAAATGTAGAGCATGACACGTAAACAAACAGCACTAAAGGAGTTAATATTCCTTGCCTTGTATAAACTTATTAGAAAATAAAACACAGAACACAGCAATTGCCTTATTGGATCAGACCGATGGCACATTTAATTCAGTATCCTGTCTCCACTAATTGTTAATATCAGATTCTTCAGAGGAAAGTTTAAAATCCCTATCATGAATAATTATGCAAGAGTACATTTAGGGGTAAATTCTTTCCTAATTCCTAGGAGTTAATGGTTGCAAGAGCTGTTATCCCTTACAAATATTTATTATTAGCATAATTTTAGCTACCCTTTCTATTGATATAAATGTCTAATCCTGTTTTGAACCATGCTAAATTCTTTGCCTCACTATCTCGTCGCATTGAGTTCCATAGGTTCACCAAGCATAGTGTTAAAAACGTATTTCCTTTGACTAGCTTTAAAGGTATTGCTTTTCAATTAATACCATTCTTCTAGTATGAAATATGAGCACCCATGTGGTTTTCTCTATACTGTACTTCTGTCATGTCTTCTCTAAACTAAATAGCCCTAATCTTTTATCTCATTTTCCATGCCTCTACATTTTCATTTTTTTTCTCTCTTTCTTATCCCTTTTTCCGATGGGATGACCAAAAGTAATTCTCAAGGTGGTGACATACATTCTATTTTAAATATTAGCTTTACAATATTTTCAGAATTATTCTCTATCCCTTTCTAAATACACCTCTACCCCGATATAACATGACCCGATATAACACGAATGCTGACATAACACGGTAAAGCAGTGCGTCGGGGGGGGGGGGGGAGGGGGAGGGAGGGGCGCTCCGGCGGATCAAAGCAAGTTTGATATAACGTGGTTTCACCTATAATGCAGTAAGATTTTTTGGCTCCTGAGGACAGCATTATATTGAGGTAGAGGTATACAGTTTAATATTACTTGGGCTAGATTTTCATGTTTGGAAGAATACTTTCTGGGACTTGAATAAAATCTTGTATTTTGCTATTTAATCAGAATGATTTTTAAATTACCTTTCCTTTCTGCTTTCTTTTTTGTTTAAGGATATGCATAAGTTCTATGAGTAATGTGATATACTTAAGTAGCCTCCACACCCATACTAAGGATTTATATTTCTTAACTTTCATCTTTAAGTTCTAAAGCGTTTCCAAGTTTTTTGAAAAACCATACTTCCTAAAGTATAACATCACAGCATAAGGTTTTAGGATGATCAATCCCTCCTAGGATGAAATTAAGTTAGATTATGTTATAGTCACTATGACTGGCTCAACTCCTGGAATCAAGTCCTGTGTATTATTTAGGAATAGGTCAAGAGTAACCTCTCCCCATGTGTGCCCCAGAACTAGCTGTTCCAAGAAGCAACTGTTTGTGGTTTGGGAAACTATTAAACTAAACTGTATCCCGATGTAACATTTGACCAATAAATGTTTGGGTTGTAAAAATCATACATTATTGTTTTGCTTTTGTTATCGCCAAGTTCTCCTTCAACTCTGTGAACTGGTTATCATTATCCTGATGCAGAGAACAGTAGAACACTACAGTAGTATTTTTATAAATTAGGATATACACCTCTACCCTGATATAACGCTGGCCTCGGGAGCCAAAAAATCTTACCGCGTTATAGGTGAAACCGCGTTATATCAAACTTGCTTTGATCCGCCTGAGTGCACAGCTCCCCCCCACCCCCACCCCACCAGCACTGCTTTACCGCGTTATATCCAAATTCATGTTATATTGGGTCGCGTTATATCAGGGTTGAGGTGTATATCCTATTCGGCTAAGGCATATTCTTAATGCCGAATACTCAGAAGAGGATTTCTCATGTAAAACAGTTGATTTCTTTGAAGCACCCAATTGTTTTGCTTATGTCTTTGTTTCTGTGCAGGCATTACCAATTATATCAGTACAGCTTTGGGAAGGGGGATTTATTTCTTTACTTGTACTCCAGCTAGCTTGCTAGGAAAACACAGCAGAAAGCACATATTGTAGGCTTACTCATCTATAAAACATGGCATGTTCACCTTTTCCTAACCCTGGTCCACAGCCTGTTAACCATCAAAGTCTTTTCCTTTCAAATTTTGATTATGATGCCACTTTAGTTTTTTTACAAAATAGAGCATTGTTAATTTTGATCAATGAAAGGATACATTCCTCCTCCTGAAAATAGGCCTCAGCTATCTGTAAAGGAAAAAGAAAAAGAAAATAATGTTTAACATCATGATTCTCTGATTCTTTATTATAGTCATGCATGTATAATATTATCTTAATTTTTAAGAGTTCATATCTAGTTTTTGAGTTTATAGATTACAGTTTGGTTACATTTTCAAGCTTTTTTCTACAACTACACAGGCCAGAAACTTTTTTTTTTAAATGAAAGCTGAAATTGTCATGTAAATCACACGATTTCAGAACCTGGGGCTTTAAGAAAAGTATCAACTACAGTCAGACTTGTGATAAAATTGTTTTCTGTACAATTGCAGGAGCCACGTACTTTCACTTCAGGTTCTCTCTCCCAGCCTCTTATCTAGGCTGTTCCTCTGTACAAGTCTACAAGGTGGAAGAGCATCTAGCCATCTTTCCTCAATTTCACTAAGCCCAGGGTCTTGATAGCCAAAAAAACCCTTCAACGTGACAGCAGGCACAAAATGAAGCCAGATGGCAGCTCTATGACCTGCATTATAGATTTTATGAGGTAGAACCAACTTAAGGCTTTTCCCCTTTTAATGACATTGCTGTAACAGAATGGGTTAAACATGACCATTAAGTGACAGCTCTGCCAAAGGAAAACAATGAGAAACACAGAGAGACAGCATTTAAAGACTGTTCTACCAGATCTAGTCTGACCTAACCCATGTGTGTCATAACAAACAAAAAGCTATCCGGCAGATAGATACAGGAGGCTAGTGAACTTTCCCTGTTCCATATAGAATCCATAGTACCATTTCAGTTTAATTTGGAAATCAAAACATTGCCAAGGACAAGTGCAGGTAAAAATTATGTAAGGAAGGAAGTCTCATTATTTGAAGTAATATTTCAGAAGATCATGTAAAAATGTTTAAGACGGGTTAGAATAGTCTGCTGGAGAGACATGGGCTCAAAATAAGCAGAGGAAAAACAGAGTATATAGTATGTAATTTCAATAATGTGAACAATGAAGAACTATCCTTGAAATTAGAGGGACAGACAATACTGAAAATACAAAGTTTCAAGTATCTGGTTTCCAGAATCAAGGAAAATGTGGAAATGGAGGATGAAATGAGAGCTACAATAATAAAAGCGTGGCTCAAATGGGGAGAGATAAGTGGTGTAGCATGTGACAGGAAGATACCAATAAGATTAAAAGGGAAAGTCTATAAAACCATGGTCCGTTTGGTTTTACTGTCTGGTGCTAAGTGTTGGGCAACAAAGAAGAAACATGAGCAAATAATCTTTTCCACAGAAATGCAACTGTTGATGTCGATGAATGGCATAAGTAAGAAAGACCACATGAGGAATGTGTATGTTAGAGATATACTCAAATTAACACCCATAAACAAAAAACGAGGGAGTGCAGGCTCAGATGGTTTGGTCACATAAAGCACGGTACTGAGACAAAGTCCACCAAGAAAAAAAGACTGATAAGTCAACCCAAGAAGAAGTGGAGGGATGTCATAAAGGAAGACAGGTCAGTATATAGTACGATAGAGGATATGGCATTGAACAGAGTACTTTGGAGGGAGAGGACTCATAGGGCAGACCACATTTCATGGGATTAATGCAAGAAAGAAGAAAAAAGAAGAGGTTAGATTAACTTCTAATCCTTGAAACTCAACCAGCCTATAACCTGAGGCTAAATACCAGAGTGATGGCCATCATCTCGGCCAATACACTGGGGACTAAAGTGGAGATCTCCAGAGCTAAAAGCATGAGGTGCTATAGCTACAGCTAAAGAGCTAAAACTTCCCAGCTGGGGGCACAAACATCTCATATTTTCTGTAGTTTGATACAGAAGGGGATCTATAATACTCACCAGTGAGTTACCATGAGAAACTTTCCATATCAAAACATGGACATGGAAATAAATAAAACCAAGATACAGTATCAATATAGTGTTCACAAAACTGAGTAATTTTTTAAATGCAGAGTTTACTAAAATGGGTATGTTACTGATTATGTAGCAATGGACTTTCAATTGGTACTGGAAAACCAGAACTGCAAGTATTTAGCAGCAGCAGAACTCCCAGACAAATAGCCTGAATGGCATAGTAGGACAGGTGTAGAACATAGCAAGTTTTTTTGTGTTCACCAAGTAAAGGGATCCATTTGTTTGGTATTGCCACAGAGGACTAATCTCTTGCATTTAAAACTGTAGAGATGCCATTCTGTTACAGTCCATGTAACTAGCCAGGAGGACTCAAGGCATCTCCTCAAATACACCAAACTATTAGATTTCTCAGAGGATAGGTGTATTTCCAGGCTGAGAGAGATGTTCTGGTTCTGAGCTGGTGGTTTGGAGTTTTATGGAGATGACCAGAGCTAATTCCAACAGCAATGGAAACTAGACTAATGGAATCAGATGGTGCAGAAAAGCCAACATTTATTCACTGAAATGTGCCTTTCCTTCCCATGCTCCCTCATTGCAAACACAACTTCTCAGTTTGAGACAGTAAGGTATTAACTGTACTTGTGAGAGACAGGCAAAGTGTGCACAAGACCTATGCAAAATTTCCTGTAGAGCTCTGAAATAAAAAGGAGTTTTGTTTAACAAGGTGAAGCATATACAGCTCAGAAATAAAAACATCACTTAGCAATTATACAGAACTTCACAATTTCAAAAGCCTTAACAAACATTACTTAATCAATCTTCAAATACATTGAGAGTTTGCATTATTCCTATTTAACAACCGGCATAGTATGGCTAAGGCAAAAATTTTAAGAAGAGCCCACATATTGTTGATGCCTCGACATTTGAGTGCCCAATTTGAGAAATGCAGTGTCTGATATTCAATTGACTTCTACTGGAGCAATGGGTAATTATTACCTCTGAACATTTCGGAGTGTCTCAATTCGTGGGCGCAGTCAAAAATGTGCTTGAATTGCTTGCCCAAGGTACAAAGCAAGTCTGTGGCAGAGCTTGGGTTACAAATTGGGTGTTCCTGGTGCTCAGTCCTATTAGACTATTCCGAGCCAACATCTCCCAAGGGGAATTGACAGATGAATTCTAAGACTCATATTTTTGTATATCCTGACTGCTGCCTGGAATGGTAGTTCCAGAAATTCCTGGAACAACTCAAGGAGCATTTATAATTTTTGTCTTGTAATGGCAGAAACAAAAATTATGTGCACGCTCCTAGAAATCTGAAAAGCATGTGCTGCGGTTAAACATCAAAGGATAATTTTCTACTTAATTAAACTTAATCCTTATTACACGCTCTAGTATACTGATGCCTGGAAAACAACTATTGTGAGCTTTTTATTATACCATTCTGAATTTTAATGCTGTAGTGATTCTTTAATACAGCAGTTGGTTTTAAATTGCACTTGTTCATATGAAATAAAAAGTGATTAAAATTAATTCTATACTAGATGAACAGTTGTTTGACGTCAAGGCTCATCATATTAGAAAATGATAGAAACACACTACATATACAAGTTATTGGCAGGCTATATTAGTAAATCTCAATCAGGCCCTTCATGACAGATTAATCCATTTCACAGAAGATGATACTCTAATTAGTGCTCATTTCACAAGAAAATAACAAGCTTTGTTCTCCAACAATTTCATTTTTTCCAGCTTAATAAAAATATACTATGGCCAACATAGGGCTTGTTTCTTTTTTCTCAGGAAGGAAGGTTGTTCTTGTGGTAAGAACACATGGCTGGGAGTCAGGAAACAGATTCTATTCTCAGTTCTGCCAGAGGCTTCCTGCATGACTTTGAAAGAATCTGCCTCTTTGTACCTCAGTTGCCTCATGTGTAGAGCAACAACTAGAATTTACCTGCTTCCCATACTCACAGAGGAGTTGTGAGGATAAATTCATTAATACATGTAAAATAATTTGAAATCTCTGCACTATTTACAATGCCTTCTTTATATGGTGTTGATATTCACGAGCCAGCACAAAATATAGACTCTGTTTCAGGCAAGAGACTAAATTAGTGCTAACAAAGTTTCACATACATAATTAATGCAAGGAAATAGAAACTTTTCACTAAAGCACCATTTTTAATGTAAACTTCCAGTAAAATATTTATTTTTTAATATAAAATATATTTATGGAACCTGACGCCTATTTTATTTATTACTCATTTTGGTCATTTATATCACTGACAACAAGAGGCAATGCAGCAGCAAAGGAACCACTATGCCGCAGAAATCAGCTGAAGAACAGTTTCAAATGAGAACACAGATACTCTGTTTTCAACAACGATGGCAAAAGAATAAGTCCATCAAGTAGCACTGTCAGACACCATAAGAAAAAGGAAGCTAAAGTGATCCCCTCAAAATACATCCTTCTGGTCAATATGTAGAGCCATCATTCAGCAAAACAACATTTTTGAACTGTGTATTATAGTGCAAAAGATCCTAGCCACATATCTATGCTACATTATCGTCACACTCCCAGTCGCCCTTTGCAGGGGAGCAAAGCACTAGCCCGTTGAACATAAGAATGGCCATACTGGGTCAGACCAAAGGTCCATCCAGCCCAGTATCCTGTCTGCCGACAGTGGCCAATGGCAGGTGCCCCAGAGGGAGTGAACCTAACAGGTAATGATCAAGTGATCTCTCTCCTGACATCCATCTCCACTCTCTGACAAACAGAGGCTAGGGACACCGTTCCTTACCCATCCTGGCTAATAGCCATTAATGGACTTAACCTCCATGAATTTATCTAGTTCTCTTTTAAACCCTGCTATAGTCCTAGCCTTCACAACCTCCTCAGGCAAGGAGTTCCACAGGTTGACTGTGCGCTGTGTGAAGAAGAACTTCCTTTTATTTGTTTTAAACCTGCTGCCAATTAATTTCATTTGGTGGCCCCTAGTTCTTATACTATGGGAACGAGTAAATAACTTTTCCTTATTTACTTTCTTCACACCACTCATGATTTTATATACCTCAATCATATCCCCACTTCGTCTCCTCTTTCCAAGCTGAAAAGTCCTAGCCTCTAATCTCTCCTCATATGGGACCCATTCCAAATCCCTAATCATTTTAGTTGCCCTTTTCTGAACTTTTTCTAATGCCAGTAGATCTTTTTTGAGATGGAGACCACATCTGTACGCAGTATTCAGGATGTGGGTGTACCATGGATTTATATAAGGGCAATAAGCTATTCTCTGTCTTATTCTCTATCCCCTTTTTAATGATTTCTAACATGCTGTTTGCTTTTTTGACTGCCGATGCACACTGCGTAGTTATCTTCAGAGAACTATCCACGATGACTGCAAG